TTGCGCAAGAGAGAAAAGTGCATTCGTAACAGACGGATAGACAGACAGAGAGAAAGAGAGAGAGAAGGGGGGGGGGGGGGAGGGGCACGAAATGAAGATGAAAGCAAACAGCAAATAAATAAAATATTTATGCTAATTTATTTACTTAAAACAAAAAAACATTTTCGTTTTCTGTGCGCGAATTCCTTTTTTGGCGTTATTTAATTAGTTTCTGTTTGCACCTCATTGCTGCCCCACCCCACCCCAGCCGCCCCCCCTCACCCATCTGGCTCTTGCAATTTCGTGTGTCTGGCAAAGTTTTCATTACTGTGTTTTCTCAGTTTTTCCACCATTTTTTGTTTTCCAGGCCACTTTTGCTTTCAGACGTGTTAATTAGTTGCCAGTTGCCAGTTGCCATTTGCTGATTTGGGCTTAAAGATTTCTGTGCTGCGGTCATGAGTTGCGACAATTGTTGTTAAAGAGGAAACCGAATTCAAACTTCATTCTGCTCAGATCTAGCGGAAATGTATTTGAATATCTTTATGGGAATTCATGCCAAATCATTTGCTTTGATGTGGCCAAGTCTCATCAATTGCTCTGCACGCAGCACGTTTCCCACAGCTTCGGTTTCGCTTTTGCATAATTCTATGGCCCCCTGGCCCGCCAAGCCGCCAAGTTCTAGGCACATTTGTGAATGATTTTCTCAGTTGAGAATTTGTAAAGACAGAATTCAAATTGCAGGAGGGCCCCAACGTCGTGGTGGCAACGACCCCCCAGCCTATGCAAACACGCAACACAAAGAAGCCGCAACAAATGCAACAACAAAGGCAACATTGATGATTGATTAACATCAAATTAGCTGAACAACAGGCAACAGCTACGTTTTTGTACTTCAAGATACTGCACTTTCAGATACAGATACAGATAGAGCTGTAAATGAGCTAGAACTAAATGCAGCTATTGAATTGGAAGATTCAATTCAAATGACAACCGAACAGTAGCTAATTGCAGGTGAAACTTAAGTTGTGCAATCGACTAATTGCGCATTTGTTGTTGGCCATAAAAGCACAGCTCAATACATTATATAGATATATATACGATAGATATGTATATACTTATTTATACGATAGATATGGTAGCTACTTATAAGCCTCAAAGTAGTTCAGGGTCAGCTTAGAGCGAACAAGTATATCAAAAGGCAGCTGTCGGCCAGTCGGAGAGTCAGTCAGCCAGTAATTCAGTCAGTCAGTCAATCACTCAGTCAGTCAGTCAATCAGTCAGCTTTATTTTTAAGCAAGCTTTACGAACAAGTATATCAAAGAGCAGCTGTCGGGCAGTCAGTCAGTCAGTCGGTTCAGTCCGCCAGTCAATCTGCATTAACATTAACATCGAACTGCATTTCAATTATTATTATTATTTTTTTTTAATTAATTAATTGCAATTTATAATTGTAATTTGCCAGCATTGACACAGTTTTTGCAGCGTTAAATTAAATAAAATGAAAACTTTCCTTTTTTTTGTTGTTTTCATTGAAATGGCGGCTTTTCCGGCGAACAAACGTGACATTTACAGGCGACTGCACAATTTTCAATTGATTAAGCAATTTTATAGTTTTCCCAACAAGCGCCAGAGTTCGTCTCTCGATAAGCACTTTTCCAAGCAAGAGATTGATTACAAATTTCATTCGACTCATTGCAAATGCCACTTTTTATGCATTTTGCATATGCGCGCTCGTAAAGGCCGCCAAAAACCCCTCCTTCCCCTCTTCCGCGCCTGCCAGCTGCCAGTTTAAAACATAAAGATTTTTTTTAGCGTGCGCGCTAATCAAAGCGCTAAATGGCAGCAAAGCCTGCATCAAGTTCGGTTTCGGCCCCAAAACGCAATTTCGTTTTTAGCGAAAACTCAATTGGCGGTAAAAGCTAAAACTCAAATTGCATGGCTATAAAATGGCTAACTAATAGATCTCTAAACACAACTCGAGCTTCAACTTTGCTTACCAAAACAAAAAAAAAAAACAATTAAACTAAATAGGACACATTTTCATTCTACAATAACTTTTGCGTTTATTATCCAATTGTTATAAACTTTTCAGCGTCTTCATAAATAGCAAAAGTCAGTGTGCTTAATAGGTATCTGCTGTAAGTGAAACATTAAAAACAAATTAGTAACCCCAGCAGTTGTTATTAAGGCGATATTCTCACGAAAATCGATTTTAATTAAAGTTTCGATAATAGAAGGTGTTATCGATAATAAGATCAACTAAATCTGCTCACAGTACACCGCATGTCTAGTTATTGTTTCATTTTCAATGCTTACATGGCTTGAAAGCAGATCTGAAGTGCGATATTAATGGATTTTTTCGAAAATGGGAGGTTAGTTCTGATTAAAAGAGGCGCATGTCTAGCTATAGTCTTATGTTCCATGCATACAAGGTATGACAACAGATCAATAAATATCTATGATTTTTTGGTAATGTAACGTATTATTGATAAAAAGTGAAACTATTTCGGTGTACATTAAGCCGTATGACTAGCTATTGTGCATGTTCAATGTTTACAAGGCTTCCAAACGGATCTGAGAGTTAAAATTGCTCGATTTTTCGAAAATGGAAGTTATCCAAAGTAGTTCTGATCACAATTGGGCGCATAGATATATAGATAGTCACACTTTTAATGTTATAAAAACAAATTTGTAACCGATATATATCGATATTTGAAAAATGAGGATTGTAATCGATAATTAAAAATTTAGTTCTGATCAAAATAAGCCGCATGTTTAGTTCTGCTCCCAGTGCGAATGTTAACAAGGCTTCAAAACGGATCTGAGAGTCGATATATATCGAAATTTTCGAAAATCGGAAGCTGTTATCGAAAAGGAGCCAAACTTGTTATGTGCACAATATGCCACATGCCGAGCTCTCGCTTTCATTAATTGCAGGGTATTAAACAAAATTTTTAAAAATGTACGCGAACAAAAATAAGAAGATAAAGTTAGACTGGGAAAAAGCTGGTTTGATGCGCATTTAACAAAAGAAAAAGTACAAGTTCTTTGACTTCTTTTTATCATTATTGTTTTATTCTATTTAATGCTTCAACAATAGCAATGATAAAGCTGGTTTCGTTGGAGACGTGAGAACTAACAACTGACTGAATTTAGCTTTTGTTTTCATATGCTTTTGGCTGATTTTACCTTTGACTCTGACATTTTGCGCACTCATTTCCTCTCCTAGGCGTGTGATGAGCGATGGATGCGCTAAGAAGATCTTATTTATCATGGGATGACATGACGGCAGCTGATGAAACGCGGTTCTCGCCACAGTTAAACACATGGCTAAACACATAGGCCGAGTTGGCGACAGGGCGAGGCCGCCGGGCGAACCCTTAACCCCTTGCCTTGGCCGAGGTATTGTGTACATTTAATGGCGCATCATAAAAAAATCCTCGAAATCCTCGGGCGACAACATCAAATTATTAAACATAAATTTCCGGCCATTGCCGGTTGCCTTTTTATGCACGTAATTTTCCAACAATTTATCATTCGGTTTGCTTAAATTGCTTCGATGACACAAAAGTGGGCAACGTCCCATTGGACTCGGCTTGCGGGAGGAGGGTGGGGGGCGTGAGGAGAGACTTTCTTCGGGAGTTGGGGGTCACGGGTCGCAGCTGCTTGCCTATAAATATTTCGGCGTCTAATTGTTTGGCAAGCCCCGAGCTCAAAGGCCCCCCCCCTCCATCTCGCCCAACTCCTTAAAAAGGGGTTGTCAACGAGCGTCTGTGGCCATAAAGAAAATGCTGCCGTGGTTCGTATCCTTAAACGAATCTCTGCCTCCTGCCACTGCCACTGCCACTTCAATGTCTGGGTCTGCGTTTGTGTCTGAGTCGCAGTCGCAGTCGAAGTCTGTATCTGTGTCCTAATGAATTTACGCACACACGTCGTCATTGTCGTCCTTTTGTTGCACAGTGGCACAAAGTGCGTCTACGCTTGACGTTGATTTGTAGGCCTCAACAACTTTTTTATCTAGGTTTTATGTGTAGAATATTTAATTCGACAATTTTGTTAGATATATATAGATAGATATAGATTTATATAGATCTTCTGATGATCTTCATTTTATAATTTCCACATTTTTAGAGCGTCTCTAGCCCACAGTGCAAGTATCTACAAATTGTATGCTTCAGGACCTTATCTACTAAGGTTTTATTTTTATTGGTAGATATTTTTTTAACATGTTTTAAGCGTCTTTAGTCCACTTCGCAGTGCTGCTTTATAGATTGTTTTATATTTATTCATACTGCCGATTTATATATATATTTTTTTTAATATTAAATATACACAAATTTTCACCACTTTTAGCCCACTGTGCAGCGGTATCTGTTTGCCGAAGGCTTTTATTTATTCAATAGATATTTTTCATTAATTTTCAAGCGCTTCTAGCCCACTGTGCAGCGTTGTCTTTGGTGCTGTTCCTGCAGCGTCTGCGTCACATAAATTGTCCTTGCTGCCTTTTTTTCTCTATGTTTCGCCAAATGGCAAATGCGCAAAATATTCTACGCTGTTGGCCATCCGCATCCGCATCCGCGTCCTCCAGCTCATTCATATCCTGAACGTCATCCTCATCCTCATTTTCGTCGTCGTCGTCGTCGTCGTCGTCGTCGTCGTCATCGTCTGGTCGTCTCCTCTGCCTGTTTTATTGTGTTCGGTGCGCAAATTTTGGTCTTTCAGCTCATAAATCAAAAACATTACAACAATTGTGTCTCGCAGCACGCAGTGTCTTTGCGCTGCGCTTTTGTTGCCTCCGCCGCCGTTGTCCTTGCCACAACCAATTTGCACGCGCCACGAAACAAAACAGCTGCCAGTTGCGTTGGCTCTGACCCTGTCCCTGTGCCTGCTCCTGACCCTGTCTATCCTTCTGCTGCTGGCCCACCTGCGCATTCGGTTAAAATGTGCTCCGGAAAATTGTTATACCAAAAATTTGTGCTGCAGCTGAAAAACTAACAAAAGAAATTCTTGATTATTTGCAGATCCCCCTCGGAGCGTTCCGGCAAGGGCTGCTGTGGCCAATGGTTCGCTGGACCGCCGCTGCGCGCTCTCATTGCTGTTGTTGCGCTCGGGGGCGTGGCCTGCGCCCTCGGCGGCGCTGCGCTGGGCGCCACGGGACTCGCTGGACCGCCAAATTCGCATCTGACCGCCGCGCTGCTAATGATTGGTAAGTAGAGAGTATCTCAAGTCGATTACATAACAGTGAGACAGTGTGTGTGTGTGTGCACACTCGTTTATAGTCCATATAAGCACGAGTCGAACAATTGATGGGGTCACACAAAAATGGCATTAAAATGTTGCCTTTCGCGATGTTTACACAATTTGTTGTTGTTGCTGTTGCTGTTGCTCTTATTGTTAATGTCTCTTGTCTGTGCATTTGTTGTTTTTGTTGTTGTTGCTGTTGCCTCACACAGCAATTTCTAAAATTATAACAGGCTTTGGGTTTTTTTCTGTTGCCCTTTTGTAATGGGCGCGTCTCTGCCTGACCCAGTTCGAAGAACAAACAAATTTTGTAAAGACACAAAATGTGTCAATATTGGCGCAGAGAGAGGAAGATAGAGAGAGAGAGCATTTAGTTCCGGCTACGAGTTTTATCAGCCCCAGATAGTTGGTAAATAAATATTGGCATTGTGTGTTTGTGTGGGTGGCCTATCCTCCAGCCAGATCTGTGGGAAATACGCCGAGATCTATGTTTAAACACGAAAGTAAAAGTAAACTGCTCTCAAGAACTTAAGCACAATTGCATTTGAAAATGAGAAGAAAAAAATATATTTGCAAGCTGCCAAACAATGCCAGAGATACGTAAGAGTCTAAGTATTTTAACTGCAAATAAATATGGTTGTGGTTTTTATAGCCTGAACCCATTAAAAATGGGTATAAGGGTATATTGTATTTGTGCGAAAGTCAAATGTATGTAACAGGCAGTAGGAAACAACTCCGACCCCATAAAGTATATATATTCTTGATCAGCATAAATAGCTGAGTCGATCTAGCCATGTCCGTCTGTCTGTCCGTCCGTCCGTCCGTCCGTATGTATGAACGCAAGGATCTCCGAACCTATAAGAGCTAGAGACTTGAAATTTTAGATGTAGATGCTCCTAGCTTCCGCGCAGATCGATAATCCGATAATTGATAACTTACTCCGTTTCCAAGCAATCGATAAAAATCGATATCGATATCCTGTTTTTTGGGCAATTTTGGTAAATAATAAGAACTAGAGTCACCAAACTTAACATATAGCTTCTAAAATAGAATATATATATGATATAGGATTTTTCTTCATGGTTTTCCCTCTAGATTAATCTGGCATTCAAATCTGAACACCGATTTTTTATTCGAAATGCATGTCCAAATCTTACCCCAAGATTCGTATATAGACATGGGTCCAAATTTACCACCCCCATAGCTCGGTCAAATCTCATCCGATTTTCACGAAGTTTGGCTTTTTCTTCATGGTTTTCCCTCTAGATTAATCTGGCATAAAAATCTGAACACCGATTTTTTAGTCGAAATGCATGTCCAAATCTTACCCCAAGATTCGTATATAGACATGAGTCAAAATTTACCACCCCCATAGCTCGGTCAAATCTCATCCGATTTTCACGAAGTTTGGCTTTTTCTTCATGGTTTTCCCTCTAGATTAATCTGGCATAAAAATCTGAACACCGATTTTTTAGTCGAAATGCATGTCCAAATCTTACCCCAAGATTCGTATATAGACATGAGTCAAAATTTACCACCCCCATATCTCGGCCAAATCTCATCCGATTTTCACGAAGTTTGGCTTTTTCTTCATGGTTTTCCCTCTAGATTAATCTGGCATTCAAATCTGAACACCGGTTTTTTAGTCGAAACGCATGTCCAAATCTTACCCCAATGTCGAAATGCATGTCCAAATCTTACCCCAAGATTCGTATATAGACATGGGTCAAAATTTACCACCCCCATAACTCGGTCAAATCTCATCCGATTTTCACGAAGTTTGGCTTTTTCTTAATGGTTTTCCCTCTAGATTAATCTGGCATTCAAATCTGAACACCGATTTTTTGGTCGAAATCCATGTCCAAATCTTACCCCAAGATTCGTACAAGCAATCGATAAAAATCGATATCGATATCCTGTTTTTTGGGCAATTTTGGTAAATAATAAGAACTAGAGTCACCAAACTTAACATATAGCTTCTAAAATAGAATATATATATGATATAGGATTTTTCTTCATGGTTTTCCCTCTAGATTAATCTGGCATTCAAATCTGAACACCGATTTTTTAGTCGAAATGCATGTCCAAATCTTACCCCAAGATTCGTATATAGACATGGGTCAAAATTTACTACCCCCATATCTCGGCCAAATCTCATCCGATTTTCACGAAGTTTGGCTTTTTCTTCATGGTTTTCCCTCTAGATTAATCTGGCATTCAAATCTGAACACCGATTTTTTGGTCGAAATCCATGTCCAAATCTTACCCCAAGATTCGTACATAGACATGGGGCAAACTTTACCACCCCATATCTCGGCCAAATCTCATCCGCTTTTCACGAAGTTTGGCTTTTTCTTCATGGTTTTCCCTCTAGATTAATGTGGCATTCAAATCTCGACACCGATTTTTTGGTCGAAATTCATGTCCAAATCTTACCCCAAGATTCGTATATAGACATGGGTCAAAAATTACCACCCCCATATCTCGGCCAAATCTCATCCGATTTTCACGAAGTTTGGCTTTTTCTTCATGGTTTTCCCTCTAGATTAATGTGGCATTCAAATCTGAACACCGATTTTTTAGTCGAAATTCATGTCCAAATCTTACCCCAAGATTCGTATATAGACATGGGTCAAAATTTACTACCCCCATATCTCGGCCAAATCTCATCCGATTTTCACGAAGTTTGCCTTTTTCTTCATGGTTTTCCCTCTAGATTAATCTGGCATTCAAATCTGAACACCGGTTTTTTAGTCGAAACGCATGTCCAAATCTTACCCCAATGTCGAAATGCATGTCCAAATCTTACCCCAAGATTCGTACATAGACATGGGGCAAAATTTACCACCCCCATATCTCGGCCAAATCTCATCCGATTTTCACGAAGTTTGGCTTTTTCTTCATGGATTTCCCTCTAGATTAATCTGGCATTCAAATCTGAACACCGATTTTTTAGTCGAAATTCATGTCCAAATCTTACCCCAAGATTCGTATATAAACATGGGTCAAAATTTACTACCCCCATATCTCGGCCAAATCTCATCCGATTTTCACGAAGTTTGGCTTTTTCTTCATGGTTTTCCCTCTAGATTAATCTGGCATTCAAATCTGAACACCGATTTTTTGGTCGAAATCCATGTCCAAATCTTACCCCAAGATTCGTACATAGACATGGGGCAAACTTTACCACCCCTATATCTCGGCCAAATCTCATCCGATTTTCACGAAGTTTGGCTTTTTCTTCATGGTTTTCCCTCTAGATTAATCTGGCATTAAAATCTCGACACCGATTTTTAAGTCGAAATGCATGTCCAAATCTTACCCCAATGTCGAAATGCATGTCCAAATCTTACCCCAAGATTCGTATATAGACATGGGGCAAAATTTACCACCCCCATATCTCGGCCAAATCTCATCCGATTTTCACGAAGTTTGGCTTTTTCTTCATGGTTTTCCCTCTAGATTAATCTGGCATAAAAATCTGAACACCGATTTTTTAGTCGAAATGCATGTCCAAATCTTACCCCAAGATTCGTATATAGACATGGGGCAAAATTTACCACCCCCATAACTCGGTCAAATCTCATCCGATTTTCACGAAGTTTGGCTTTTTCTTCATGGTTTTCCCTTTAGATTAATGTGGCATTCAAATCTCGACACCAATTTTTTGGTCGAAATTCATGACCAAATCTTACCCCAAGATTCGTATATAGACATGGGTCAAAAATTACCACCCCCATATCTCGGCCAAATCTCATCCGATTTTCACGAAGTTTGACTTTTTCTTCATGGTTTTCCCTCTAGATTAATCTGGCATTCAAATCTGAACACCGATTTTTTAGTCGAAATGCATGTCCAAATCTTACCCCAATATCGAAATGCATGTCCAAATCTTACCCCAAGATTCGTATATAGACATGGGGCAAAATTGACCACCCCCATATCTCGGCCAAATCTCATCCGATTTTCACGAAGTTTGGCTTTTTCTTCATGGTTTTCCCTCTAGATTAATCTGGCATTCAAATCTGAACGCCGATTTATTAGTCGAAATGCATGTCCAAATCTTACCCCAAGATTCGTATATAGACATAGGGCAAAATGTACCAACCCTATAACTCGGTCAAATCTCATCCGATTTTCACGAAGTTTGGCTTTTTCTTCATGGTTTTCCCTCTAGATTAATCTGGCATTCAAATCTCGACACCGATTTTTTGGTCGAAATCCATGTCCAAATCTTACCCCAAGATTCGTATATAGACGTGGGTCAAAATTTACCACCCATATAGACGTGGGTCAAAATTTACCACCCCCATATCTCGGCCAAATCTCATCCGATTTTCACGAAGTTTGGCTTTTTCTTCATGGTTTTCCCTCTAGATTAATCTGGCATTCAAATCTCGACACCGATTTTTTGGTCGAAATCCATGTCCAAATCTTACCCCAAGATTCGTATATAGACGTGGGTCAAAATTTACCACCCCCATATCTCGGCCAAATCTCATCCGATTTTCACGAAGTTTGTTTTTTTCTTCATGGTTTTCCTTCTAGAATATTGTGGCATTCAAATCTCGACACCGATTTTTTGGTCGAAATTCAAGTCCAAATCTTACCCCAAGATTCGTATATAGACATGGGTCAAAAATTACCACCCCCATAACTCGGTCAAATCTCATCCGATTTTCACGAAGTTTGGCTTTTTCTTCATGGTTTTCCCTTTAGATTAATGTGGCATTCAAATCTCGACACCAAGTTTTTGGTCGAAATTCATGACCAAATCTTACCCCAAGATTCGTATATAGACATGGGTTAAAATTTACCACCCCCATAACTCGGTCAAACCTCATCCGATTTTCACGAAGTTTGGCTTTTTCTTAATGGTTTTCCCTCTAGATTAATCTGGTATTCAAATCTGAACGCCGATTTTTTAGTCGAAACGCATGTCCAAATCTTACCCCAATGTCGAAA